CTTACTTTGTATTTCTTAAACTGTTCAGTTTTCGATATACGAGTAAGTTTATTAAAAAAATTAATATTATTTTAACGTTTTTTATTGATTCTCAAATTATAATTATTAAAGATTCCTTTTGCACCACCCTGAATAATATTATGTATTTGATCCCGGCGCATTCGCCATTTTATTTATTTAAATTAATAATTTTTGTGAAAATAAATAAATAAATAAAAATTAATAATACATAATAATATTGAATTAGGTATATTATAATCCATTCCACCCAATCTAAATAATTTTTTAATTATATAATTACGGCATAATAAAAATAGTCGACTTGGCACATTTTAGAATTGTATAAATTTGGTGGTAAGTTAAAATAACTTTAAAGTAATTATTTTTCTAAAAATAATTCCACTCCTTAAAAATGGCGAATGTGTCGGGGTCAAATATATATAATATTATTTATTTGACCCGGCGCATTCACCATTTTATTAATCATTTTTATAAAAATATATAAATAAATAAAAATTAATAATATCTACCTAATATAATCATTTACATCCAATATTTTTTAAAATACATATTTAATTTATTTCATGTCAAATTTTTTGTCAAAACTTAAATTTGCCTGGTATAAATTTTTTTGGTTCGATACGAAAAAAATTACACGTATTTTTTATTTCGAAATAATATGGAAAATTTGTTTGTAAATAGAATAATATTCAACAAACTCCCAATGTTTGCTGGCAAAACTTGTTTTAAATATTTAAATTAAAAAAAAAATAATTTGGAATATTTGAAATTAAATTTGTTTATAAAACTATCATAAAAAAATTCAAATAAATTAATTTTTTATTTAAATAGGGTGAAGTGGGGTAAGTGCGCTTTTGGGGTAAGTACACCAATTGGGTTTAAAAAAAAACTATTCAACCTGCGGTGGCACCCTCTGGTAAGTGTGAGAGCATGACTCCACTAAAATACACATCCCTTCTTTACCGAAATCAAATTGGTTAACAAAGAATGGCGACTTGATTGAGTGTTGTCGTTTTTACTCGCGTGTTAAATGCGCAGTTCTGTGAAAAAAACCCTTATTACTGGAGCTAAGGTATGTGTAAAGCTACTAGATATTTATTTTGAAAGTTTATATGTGTTTTAAGTAAACTAATATGCAAAATTACCTTTATTGTAAAATAAGCTAACTTTGAAGGGGTAGGTGCTCTTGCCCCAAAATTTTCTCTTATTGGGCAAGTGCACCTACCTTCATGGGGGAAAGTGCGCCCACTTTCCCCGGAGTTAGTTTCGGCCTACGCAGTTCCGTATGTTCTTGTTTCTAAGCACATTTTTTTCATAGGTACCATAGGAAGAAGAGGCGAAATGAAGTTTGACATCAGTTTTCCGGATTATAATATTAATTAGATTTACTGTATGAAGTTTACCTATCTTTGTTTTTTAATAGTATTGTATTTTTGTTTGATTATTTCATAAACAGTTGACAATAAAAACTATCAGTTTGTAATCATGGATTTTTTTTTGCCAGATAATTTCCCTAATATTCGAGTTAAATGTAATAACTTTATAACCAATAAGTCAATTTAATTGCGGTAAATTGCAAAAAATTCACAAAACTGTGAGTTTGTTGCACTTGCCCCGTGTATACGTTCGTACTTATAATATGGGAACTAACCGGTGGTGGTGCACTTGCCCCAAATATGGGGAAAGTGCACCCACATGTATATATTTTTACAAAAAAAATAGCTGTGGTCACCACAGTGTGGTGGCATATTATCTTTAACGCAGAGTTTAGATCTGCCATGAGATACACCACTAAGGGAGTTGTATACATGCCAAAGACTGGACTCTTACCATTGTTGTAAAGAATTTTATTAACGATTCAATTTGTGTTTTGCACTTGGGTGGGTGCATTTACCCCACTTCACCCTATACTATACTTAAAACAAGACCCGACGAGGCCAAAAAACATTAGAAGATTAATACGTATAAAGATCGATTTTTCTAGTACTAAAATTTAAAAGATCAAAACTTAGTTGTCATTTATTTTCATATCGTAAACGAAAAAAAAGTATTCTGGACAAATTTAAATTTTAACTGAAAATTTGACGTGTAGGTATGTAACATAATGTACATAGGTATCATTAATTTTATTTATTTTTTAATTTATTTTCATAAAAATGATTAATCTATATTTTTTTATTCAACACCCATTTAATTTAATATTTCAAATAAAATTGGACTTAAATTTCTAGTGGTAGTTGCATAAAAAATTGTGTTCCACTCGCATGGCAAATTTCTCGTCCTTCCACTCTCGCACAATAATATATATACGATATATACTTATACTTATATTGATTTTAGGAATATTGATAATTTAATATTTCCTAATATTATTTATCTTTAAAAACACAATTACAATATCATTATCTTAGCTTTTTTAAATAAGTTATAATTAACTTAATAATTTTAAGTAAACGAAACTTTATCTCAAAATACTTTTTAAGCGACTTTGTGTATCACCAAATATGTATTTCCCCCTTTAAGTATATATAACAAATTAAGGTATAATCAAATCTGGCTTATAACGTGACACTTTTTGTTTTGATTGAGTTTTTTAATAATCTACTATACAGGTAGGGGAAATGATATTAAGGGCATGTTTCTCGTGGGAAATGACTTTATGGGTTTATGTTTAATATAATTTAATTACCACGTCGCGTCGTTTTAAAATTAAGAAACGATTTATAAATGTAAAATATGTTATTGTGCAAATAAATGCCTTGTTTAATTAGAATTGTTAAAGTTTAATGTTTGAGAATTTTTGAAATTTTTAAAACCCGCTCAAAATGTTTTTTATTCGCGAGCCGCCAAGGTAGAGATCTAAATCATCCGAGTGAATAATGCGCATTATCTAATGAAATAATATGCTTTTTCTACTCCTATTGCATAATTTTCATTGAGAGGAATAAAGGAGAAATTAAAAAGTGAGGTAATCATTTGACAGGTGCAAGATTTTATTTATTATATACCGGTTTTTTATAATATAATTAATCCAAATTGCAGTGATAATCACTAACAACGGCAATAATGAGTTCATTATTCCCGTTCTTGGGCGAGCGGTTATAATGAATATTATTATATAGGGAAAACCCAAATAATATCAGTATTATCCAATAGGAGTGGAAAAAATATAAGTAATAAACTTGTAATCTAAAATGTGAATCCATTTTGCAGTGTAAAATAGTATAAAATTATTTTATTTATTTAATTTTTTACTTTTTAGACTTACGAACGCTTTTTTTATTAAAAAGTGAATTGAGATAATCCTTAATAATATTATATATATGTATATTATAATGCGAAAGTGTTTTTGTTTTTGTCCTTCTTTTACGCAGCAAAGAATTGACGTGATAATTTGCATATAGATATATTTTTATAACTTTAAACTATTACTAATTTTAAATTATTTTTTGGGGAAAAAAAGGTGCAACTAGGGGGTAAGTTTAATGTACAACCTAGTAGCACATTTTTTTCAAAAATAGTACAATTTAGATCAGGCGGAGAAAGCACATAGGTATTATCGCCGAGGATACATTTCACAACCGAGGCGATTGTGCAATAACCTTTCGGCTCCGTGTTTTATATAATGTTTTTTTCAAGCCTAAGTAATTTCTTAAGATTCTGTCACATCATTTTTAGATTTTTACACTTATCGTTGCTATTCAAAAAATCAGTAAAAATTAATTGAAACATTTGACGTGGTTTGACTCAAATTCTACTTTTAATCCCGAAAAATCCACGGTTCCTGTGGAAGCGTAATTTTGTAATTACCTCTTTAATGAAGAATCTTCATGCTAAAACCATTGAAGGAATTTTAATAAAGGTGTCTCACACATATACAGGATAGTCCATTAATTTTAAGCGGTGATAAAGGATAGAAAAGTTATATTTTCATTAAAAAAACAAAAAATAGCTGATAGATGCCTTGTTTATTTTGTTTCCAACCCTTGATTTTTTGATGGCCTGTAACTGGACGTTTAAACTGGACCACCCTATAAACCTATGAAAGGTTTTATTTGTTAAAATGTTGAATTAAGATAATGTTTTACTTTCCAAGTTTATCTAGATATATCTTGTTTTGTTACCTACCTCACCTATAGGTGTAATTCCTAACAAAAAAAAATTGTTTACATTTAAGATTAATAAATTGTTTGTTTATTCCTTGAGGGTTCAAATGTTTTTTGTTAATAATAATAAAAAATTTGCCCGAGTTATTGGATGCGGTGAGGGCGGTTTTTCATATTCCCGTGGCAAACTTGAAAGGTACATCTACCTACTTTTTCATATGCGATTTTTGGTATTATGTATTCTAAAATTCGAATTACGTTTTTATAGTTTATTTGTTTTAAACAATATTTCAAACGGTATATTATTCACGAGTTTTAATTAGGCAAAGCTTAAGCTTCTTTTGCAATTGCGGAGCGAGTGTTTAATAAACGAGGTTCTAGAGAAGTATAGAACGAATTGAATACTATACTTTTTTACGACGAATAAAAAATACACAGCTTGTCAATGTGCAACATATGATTGTATGTGTGTTTTAAACATGGGAATAGAAAACAATAATCATTTGATGTTGGTACCTACATATATAAGTAGGACCTACTTAGTAGGTATATGAAAGCACACTATATTAAATTAAATTTTGTATTGTCTGATTTTAGTTTTATTTTATTTTTTAGTTTATTATTTATTTATTATTCTGTTGTTATTTTTTCATGAGTTGATATATCAGTTTTATAAAGTGCTTTTAAGTATTAAAAAAGATCTAAGTCGTATATTTAGAAGAATATGTAGGTATAACTTTTTTATAGGCAATCTATTAAAGTAAAACATTATAACGTGTAATAAACTCTTAATTTATGAGCGCTGGACACATATTTTATAGGACGCAATTTAAATAAATTTTGTACCTACCCAGAGAGGTAAAATTGTCTCACCTTTAAGAAGACTTATTACAAAAACTAAATAGACAAACATTATAAAAATATCACATCACTTAAGTACTTCACAAACACGGATGTATAAAAAATATCATCTAGTTTCCATTATAATTTTGACAAAAGACTAAAACTAAAGTGTTTCGGTCAAGCGTCTGGAGCGCGTTCCCATTTTCTTTTCCCGCATTTTGCGGGCGCTGTAAGTAGGGTAGTTTACCCTCGCGTTAGCTGCGCTGGACTTTCGTGACCGCGCCAATAACGTATGGTAATAGAGGAGGTATGTATTGGTCATCTGGATCGCAGTGGCCGCCGCCGCACACTGAGGCCAAGTCCGTGTTTAAGTTTCAAAATTTTAGTCTTAAAAATAATGTTATCTTTTTATTTAAATCATCTTTTATTTTAATCGAAAACTTTTTTTTTATTTTTCAATATAACAAAAAATAACCGACATTTTATTAAGATATATAGGAAATTTAACTTATGTAACTCAAATTTAAGATTAACTTAATAATTTAAAATTGATAGTTCTTATTTTAAAAACTTTTAAAAATAATTTTTTTAAAGTATTTACAAAATTTTAAAAATGGACAATTCACTAAAAAACATGGTTGTCTAATTTTAATTTGATAAATGGGTTTAAGATTATTATACATAAGTTTTTTCTGCGTATATTTGTTTTCAATATTCAATATTATTCTAAAAGTCTTTATTTCCATATATTTTTTATATTGATAACACGGAAAAAAAGCATTTTAATTTTTTTCAACCTTTCTGGCGTATCATTAGGTAGATATAAAAATTTTATATTGTGGCATTTTTGGTGCGTAAACGAAATTTCCTCTTAAATATCTATATATTGATACCTATATAGATATTTATCAACTAGTATATTAAATATACAAATATTGATATTAAATAGTATATTAAATATACTATATTTAATCTTATTACAAAAAAGTTTAATAAGAGACTGTAAAAATTGTTATTCGTTTTTCATTTAATTTTTCACCTAAATTGGCTAAAAATTATGTTAAAAATTTAAAAATTATATATTTTATGAACAAATACTTTTATTAGGAACTGCAAACATTAAAATAATTAAATTTTTTTGGTTTTAGAAGCAAAATGTCAGAAATTGTTTTGGCATCAAAAGTGCCTGAACGATATATGTATATATAATTTAAGCTCCAATAATAACGGAGTTAAAATGGTAGCAATTGTAAGCAGATAACTTTGAACAAGGTATGTAACTATATGTAAAAGGTATATTTTATCTTGTTAAAGACAAAAAAGCTTCATTCATCATCATTTTTTGTAAAATTATTGTGGCCTAGCTTTTTTATGTATAAACGAAATTTTATGTTGTTATAAACAAAAAGGATAATTATTATTATTTTTATATTTTGCCTTTAATAAATGGTTGCCTATATTTGCTTAAACTTTTTTTCAAACAATAATTTTGAACCTCTATTTTCTCATCAAGTCACGCTGTGCGCCGGTCGCTTGGAGACCCCCAAGTGTACACAGCAATCGATGAAAGTCGTGGGCTACTTTTCTTTAATAGTCATTACTCATTGTTTTTAAACTTGGGGCAGAGCGTTGATTGATTATTATTAAATCTTGTTTTTTATTTTGATTTTGCGGTTGTTTGATTGCAATATTAGTCAAGTAACACGTTTGTTTTCACGCAACATATTTATTCAAAATATTATACATATATTTATACTTTAGTACGAAAAAAAAATCGGAAAAATTCAATAACGAGAGAGAATTTCGGGTATTTTGAAAATTTTAATTATTAAAACAATAATAATAATAATAATAATATTGTTTTATTTTAATATAAACTACACTGTTTAAAAGTTTCACTATTTTATTTAAATATGACAATTGTTTCGCTACACAGTAGCATCTTCAGATCTGAAGATGCTACTGTGTAGCGAAACAATTGTCATATTTAAATAAAATAGTGAAACTTTTAAACAGTGTAGTTTATATTAAAATAAAACAATATTAACATGGAGTTTCATCAAGTAAAAGTCGAAACAATTAATTATAATAATAATAATTTATTTATTTGCCCAACGGAGTAAAACTCCAATAACAGAACAAAAATATAATTAAAGTTTACATTTCATTTACTAAAAATAAAACTAATAATAAACTACAAAAAAATTAAAAATAAGTTTTTGCCACCCTAAGAATATCATTTAAACTAAACTGCTCGTCATAAAAATCGACGCACCTAGTTTTTTGGATAATATTTGAAAGCTTGTTATTGAAAAATTACTGAATCGATTTTGAAAATCTTTGGAAATTCTGAATAGCTGATTCTTTGACTCTTATGTCTAATTTTGGAAATACGAAATTTTGCACATATCATTATACTACAGGGCAGGGGCGGCTAGTGCATAAGGGCTGCAGAGCTGCAGAACTCCCAAAATTTTCTTATTACTTGACTAATTTTTTAATTATTTAATATTTAAGTGCGACAGTGTATGAATATTTCAAATGCATGGCTGCATAAAAAGTTTTTATTATAAACATTCGCCGTGCTTGGCCACTACAGTCATCCAAACGACCAGTAAAGGTCTCTAACGCTTAACGCTTACAATACAACAAAGCTGGGCCACTTTCGAGTTCTGGTTCCCATTTCAATACCGTAATTTTGCTCCGCGCCGCTCTTGGTCCTAGGTTAAGATAGTCAGAGCCGGCTTAAGGCAATTGAGCGCCTTAGGCACTTAAAAATTTGGCTCCTCTAACTAGATACTGTACTTACGGGGCCCTGGGCAAATTTTAAAAAAGCTTATTAGAGCCACCCCAAACTGTTAGCTTAAGGGCGCCCGAGAATTATAACCCAATTATTCCCTATGAATTAGAATACTTTTTATCATTAAAAAAATGCATAAAAAACATAAATAACATACAAACATAACAAATATAATGTAAATAAGAAGTGTTAGACTCATAACTGCGTTTTTCTGCAAGATGTCATTAGTAAGTATTTAAAAAAAATTAAATCAACTTTAATTTTCTTTATTTATATGTTAGATATACTGCTGGTTTATTGTAATTTGTTTAATATTAAAATTTCAGAAATACCTTAAACCAAACAGAAAAATTAACACTATCTAAATGTGGATTTAGCCAGAATTTTGTGTAACGTAATCTAACGTAACGTAATTTAATTTAAAAGGCAGGCTAAATCAACCTTAACTATCGAACACAGACTGCTATCACCAAACACACAACACATAGAAGTGCCACTCTTGAATAAACGCGAAAACACCCAAGTCCTTCCGGCAGCAGTTTCCTCTAGTATCGCGTACCCGCTGGGGCGAGCAGCACATCACAGCGGGTACCCGATGCAAGAGGAATCCGTGTGCTTGAAATAGTTTAAAGAGTGCTAAAGATATATTTATACAGAAGTGAATTTGCGGTACGATTTTTGTCGGCTTTACACCTCGTTATTACAAAGGAAGCTAAATTTTTATAAAATAATAAAAACAGTAAAAAATATTCTGTTATTACAATTGTATATTGTTTATTTTTTTTATTTTTGGAAAAAATGGTAGCAATTTTTATTTTTTTTTAAGTTGCTTGGGGACAAGGCGCCTATTTCTACGTGGCGCCTAAGGCAATTGCCTTGCCTGCCTAATGGGTAATATGGCCCTGAAGATAGTGAAATTTAAGCAAAACCGGAGCTGCACCAACATACAGTTCCTAAGTACTTCCCGGTCGTTTATTTTTCGCTTCGCATTCACGTTTGTTATTTTAATTAGAAGACTGTTAATTCGGTGTATTTTTGTGTTTGTTGTTGTATTCTTTTGTAAGAATGAATGTGGTGTATGATTTAATTATGATTTAATTAATTAACTGTAGGTACCATTTAATTACTGGCAGAACTCACAAATTTTACTGCCACGAGCCGCCACTGCTACAGGGTGTTAAACGAAGAGATGTATTTTTTCCGAAATTTCAAGTTATTCCCATTCATGAGGCAGTTGAGTTGGATAGTCGTAATACCCCTCCCTAATATTAGTAAGGTAATCCCTCGGAACGTTTTCGAGATTTTGTGAATATCGCGGCTTACTACGATTATATGCCAATTTATCGAAAATTGTCGTTATTTCCCAGTTTAGTCCAAAAAATGAGGAATAGTGGATTCTTTGACTAACGTCTAATTTTGAGAATACGATATTGTGCACATAGCATTCTACTACAGGGTGTTAAAAAAAGAGATGATTTTTTTCCAAAATTTCAAATCCCCATTCACAGGGCAGTTGAACTTGATAGTCGTAATACCCCTTCCTAATAACAGTTAGGTAATCCCTCGGGACGTTTTCGAGATTTTGTGGATATATTATTATAATAATAATTACCATACGCATAACGCTACTAATTGCGAAAAATGCGAATATTTTTTTTTCTGTTGGGTTTAGGTTTAGGACATATTTATATATATAAAAAGAAAGGAAATTACATATATTATCCAATTATGTAAAAATATATAGGGTGTTCCATTGAAAAAAAAACAAGATTTTGAACTTTTAAAATCGCTATTTTCAACGGAGCATAGAAAACACCCTGTATAATATTTTATAAAAAAAAAAGATTTAACTTATAGCTTGGTCATTATTAAAGAGATGAATACTACATAATATAAAAAATAATAAGTTTTAGTTGGCTATTTTTAACTTTTAGTGAATGTCTACATTTAGAGAAATTTTGATAAATTTTAATTTTACTCAAAAAGTATTAACATTTTCCTAATTAATATGTTTACAAAGTATACCTAAAATAGTGTGTAGAATCTAAAAATGCAAAAAAATACAGGGTGTTCCATTGAAAATAAGAAAGTTGGTATCGTCCCACGGAAAACCGAACACCCTGTATTAATGAAAATATAATATTTTAAAAATATTTTTTTCTACGTGAATATTTCTTCCTTGCAAATTTTTTGTGACTCCAGTAGTTTCTGAGATAAGTATATATACATATATGGGTCACCTTACGTGGACCACCCTGTACACAGTCATGACTTTTATATAAGTTTAAATTATTTTTTACGTATAGCAAATTATGAAAAATAAATAAGGCAGGAAAAGTCATAATTCCAAGTCTTCTAAATTCAGCCCTGCAATCGTCCCTATAACCAAGGGAGGCAATAATTCTTATAATTCTGCCTTGCAG